CATACAGATCAGTGCATTTAGAGTATATACACCAAGTTGAAAAAAATATTGTCAACTTCTAACTGCAGAATCTTTTATCACTCCAAAAGAAACCTTGTGCACAAAGAAACTGTCTTTCTACTTTGAAATTTTCCTTCTAAATGAGATATATTCTTAGGGAGAGCACAGCAAAGACTGTCTATGTCACATTAGTGGTGACTCCCATGCCTGCCGCCTTCTGCCTCTGGCAAACCTAGTCTTTCTTTCTATGGATTTGCCTACTCTGGATATTTCATATGAAATAAATAATACAATATGTGGTCTTTTGTCTTTACCTTTTTTTTAATTTAGCAAGTTTCAAAGTTCAACCATGTTGTAGCATTTATCAGAGCTACATTACTTTTTAATAGTACTTATATTTCATTATATATCACTTGTTTTTCTATTCCTTAGTTAATAGACACTGGCATTGTTTGCACTTTTTGGTTATTATGAATAATAATGCTAATGAAGATTTGTGTACTTTTTTCATGTATGGACATATATCTTCAGTTCTCTAGGAGTGGAATTGCTGGGTCATTGGAATTGCTGGGTAACTGTATGTTTACCTTTTTAATTCCTTGCCAAACTGTTTTTCCACAATATCTGAAGCATTTTGTATTTCTGCCAGCAATGAATGAGTCCTGGACAATACTTCTTACTTCTTTTTTTATCATAACCGTCCTTGTGGGTGTGAGATGGTATCTTGTGATTTTGATTTGCATTTTCTTAGTGACTGACGACTTATAGCATCTTCTCATGTTGGTAATTTGTATATCTTCTTTGAAGAAATGTCTAATCCTAGCCTTTAACCATTTTAAAAGTGGTTTGTCTTTTTATTGTTTAGTTATATGTTTCAAATAACAGACACATGTATTGCAAATATTTTCACCATTTTGTGGGTTGACTTTTCATTTTCTGGTATCTTTTGAATTCATGCTTTAAAATTTTGGTGAGGGCCAATTTATCTATTTTCTTTTTCATTATTTGTGCTTTTGCAAATGCATTCTGTATTCAAAACTTTTGAAAAACCTTATTAAGAAATATAAGTCTAAAGCAAGGTACAATGAGTGAAAACAGCTAACAAGAAGTTAGTGCTAGATAACTTGCCATTATTTGAGACAACTCTTTTTGGAAAATAAATAGCTTTTGAGCCTACCTGTTTTTTTGTTTTTTGTTTTTACTATAGGTTAGTAAAAGGAACCTCATCTTATACTCTTCAAGTCTGAACACAGAACTGCAGTCTTCTTGAATTTACTAATTTGAAAGTAGCAGGAGAATTAGAACAGAAGCCATCCTAAAATAAAGTCATCCAAAAAAATGAAAAGTTTTATTGGCCTTTGATCAAGATGAATACCTCTAGGTACAGATGTAATGAATATTTATAATTTTATTAGACTGAATTGCTTCAGGCTATAAACTTCAGTGCTCAATTTTAGCTTTAATTTTTATAGCCTAGAGAGAGATGCTTTTGAATATTTCATTCTTGAATAAAAATATTAACATCTTCAATTCCATGCTGTTGTCTTTATACTTTAACTTGTATGAAAATATTTATATATTTATTATTCCAATTTTTATCAAAATGATCTCCATATGGTATAGTTTACTTATTAAATCAATTTCCATTATCTTTTGCATATTTCTTTACAGATAATAAATTTGCAGTTAAATTGACTTTATATATATTACTTGTCAATTTCACACTTACAGATGGCAGCGTTCTGTCTTGTGTCACAGACATGTCCCGACATGCCTTATTCCTCCTATAGCACACCAGTCATTGAAGGCAGGAAGTCCTGCATGGGTTTGTGTTGTGTTGTTTATTAACTGTTCATATCTGCTGTATGTTTTGTTTGCATCTGTCCTCATGGCTGGTAAGAGTGTGCAAGGACAACTGTTTTAGCAAGGGGGGGGGGATCAGCTGGCAGAGGGCAGACAGGACCATCGCTCCACTCGCACGCAGACTGCACCTACCCTACACAAGCACAGCCCAGAGAGTCTGATCCAAACTTGATATGATCAATTACTCACCATGCGCAAAGCCAGGACAGTAACTATGACAGAGGGGCACAGAGTAGCGCTGGTTATCTAATAAAAAAGGGAACAAATTCTCCTCCATAAAGATGCTTAAAAACAATTATAATATAGTTCAGCTGACAGAGTTGGGATTCCATCCCACTCTCCCCTAAACCTCAAGGTAATCTTTGAACTTTTAGGAATATTGTAACCATCTATACATAAAAGTAAACTGTTCTCATGATTGAAAGCTGGAAAGCAATTTCTTTCAATTGTTTTTCCAGTTTTTTGTGGTTCCCTCTCCTATACCACTGTTTTAAATAGGACTGAAAAAAAAAAAAAAGTGTTACTATCATGAAAATAAGAATGTGTAGCAATGCATAGAAAACTCATCCAAAGCCATGCATTAGAGACTGGGATGCTCACCTCTACAATGGGCTATAAACATCTCCCTACACTCAACTGGCAACATTTGTTCTCATTTTAATTTCTGTGTTAACTGCTTCATCACTGTGCAGGGAATCACTAGAGCAGTGACCTCATAAGGGGACTTACAGAGCAGGTAGCCTTTTGGTCAATAAATCATCACTACCAGATTCTTTACCACTTAAGGCAAGATTGTAATGCAGAACCACCACTGTAACCTGGAGCTCTTATTCACTGTGCTATGTTAAAACCACATCCTAAATGGTTATAAATATTCTAAATATCCTAAAACAAAGAATTCTAACACCCTTCTTACTTGACTTATGGCCATTTTAGAAATTTCATTTAGGCTGCATCATCTGAATTTGTTTTTACATTCACAGGAGCACCCTTGGGGAGAACTAAAATTTGTAACATTTCCTCTGTCTAAAAAATAAGAAGGGCCTCCCTGGTGGCGCAAGGGGTTAAGACACAAACTATGAAGATATCCACAGCCACTCAGCACGAGTTTGATCCCCAACCAGGGAGATACCCACATGGTGCAGCAGACCTCTCCTGACTCACCCGCTGCTCCCCTCAGCAATGTATTTCAGTCAGTCTGCCTGTTCTGCTCCACACTCTGTCTCTGGTGAATCCTCTCACCCCCCACATCTCTGGCCTGTACCCCAGTTCTTGTATGTATAAATAAATAAATCTTTAAAAAATAAAATAAAATAAAATAAGAAATCATGATTTTATTGCCCATGTTTTGTTTGAAAGACATTATAGTTTCGATGGAGGACAAGAATAGAAAAAAAAAAAAAAAAACTGAAAAGGAGGTGTGCCACAAGACCAGAAACCTGGTTCACAAGGAGGTGGGGGTAGAAGAGATTAGTATAGCCATTGATACAGCTATGGAAACCAAGATCTTTAGGAATAGACAACACAGTTGCAGAAACTAGTATCCTTAGGCGCAGATGCCTAGATTACAAAGCATAACATCTAAGCAGGTATCTGAGGGTGCATCCAAAGGTAAAGATATGGAGATTGAGCCCATTGTGGAATCTTCTGTCCCTTTCAGATTCTGCATAGTTATCCAAACTTAGTATCCAACGGACAGCTCACAAGGAGTGACCCCTCCCAAACAGAAAAAGACTATATCAGTGCAGTCTCTGCACAGGCTCAGGGTAGCAGTCCCACTGCTCACCTGTGCCTATGCAGCAGGTGTCTCTTTTTACCAACTCTCTCCTCTGCAGGGCAGCAGCCTCCTGCCTGCCCATGACCTGTCCCATGCCTGGACTTCTCTTCACTGACCTCCCTCGGTGGAGGCAGCTCTTCTCAAGGCCGCCCGCCTGCACCTATGTAGGCCTCTCTCAGCAAACCTGTCCCTTTCAGGGCAGCTCTTACTGTCCTCTTGTGTCTATACAAGTGTCCTTTATTCTTCTGTCCTTTTCCTAATAAACCTGTCCTTTAAATATAACTAATGTCTCTATCTCATAGAAAAACTGGCCTAGGAAACTTGCCACGTTTCACTGAAATGGGAGCTCTGGTGAAACTTTTCCCAGAGTGAACCCAAGGACCCCACACTCCAAACCCACTAACTCCAAAATCCATAACAGTTTCAACAGTTACCCTGTGTCTCAACATACTTTGGACATTCATCCACATGACTTCTCTAGCATTCTCAGGTTTCTGATGTCACATTAGGCATAATAGAAGAAATAAATAAAATAAGCAATGTATAAATGGCTGAAAAGGTAATAAACATTCTATTATTTAGGACAAAACAGAGCCAGCTCAGCATCAAGCTTGGGGGCAGACATAATAGCTGTAGCACAAGAGGGAAGTCCCCAATAACTTTTAAATGACAATAAAATGTACAATTTATGTACAATAAAAAATAAAAGAAAGGTTTTTCAAAGTTAATTTTTATTTCAATTTAATTTTTGGTGATGAGGGGAAAAATGAAGGCATAAAGAATTTGATACCTAAATAGATTATGTTTTTACTTTGGTGCTTTTATGGAGAGTGAATGGCAGCTGTCAATATTATCTGTGGGATGTTTGTGTCCAGATTTTTCGAGAGCAATTGGGGGACAATAAACAATTTCCACTTTATCCCACAGGCAAAACTCAACCTCAGCACATAGCATATTCATTTGCTTAAAGAAAACATTTTCTTCTTCTCTTGAATGTGAATCTAATTTTAATCATTAAATGATTTCTATGTCTGTACTTGTTTAGTATGTAATTTGTGAACGTGATAGTTTTGATTTTCATCTTTACTGAATTGTTAGGAAAAATATCAACTTTCATTATGCTTGATTGCCCAGTGAGATGGTAAGTGTGGAGAGTTTTTCAAGAACCACCCTTCTCATCCGGAAAGCACACTTACTCATGATTACACAAGCCCTCAGACAAGAATGCAGCTTCTACCTTATCACTCACTGTGGATTCCTGAGTATGATAAAGAGCTTCTTATAGCAAGACAAATTCTTCCTGTGCTTGCAGCTGACACCTCTGATCCCTGTCACAGGGTGGAAACACTCTTCCACTTACCTAAAATTGTCCCCAAAGTAAGGGTTTTGACAGCATTGAATTCCATCCCTGATGACAAGATGATTTGTGTCCTTGCATTCTGGTTAACCTATAGATGTTCAAAATGGCAACATTCAAATGGTGAGCAATTTTCATCCAGAAGAGAGTGAGATTCAAAGGGAGACCAAGAAAAATGATGAAAATAAGCCATATTTTAGTGCTATCAGAAAGGCTAAAGGAGAAAACTTTAATAAACAATTTTTACAATGCCTCAAATTCCACTACAACCAGTTATATATCCCCTTCCCTCTCTTTTGCTTCATGGTTTAAGTGTCTAACTGGTATAATCCACAAAGAATGCAATATGCCATCTTAAATCTCAAAGTTTTTACTTTTTCAAAAGGAAATCTACAACATGGTCAGAAATACTATTTGTATAGATCTGATATGATATGTAAAATGTCAATGAATAGTAATTTTAATTTTTATAGCAATTTTATAGTAATTTTAGCAAATTTATAGTAATTTTAGTAATTTTATTTTTTAAAATGTATCCCCTCTTTGAGCAAGATCTTGCCTTTTCTCTTGTGTTTAAATTTTGGAGCACTTGTTCTTTTGTAGTCCAGTGGGAATGGATTTCCACTGGATCATGATCACTAGTCACTAAGATAAACTGGGCAACATTTCCCAAGTAAAGTAAGACCTAGAAGGACACCTTCACATTTTAAATGACCAAGTATTAATTATAACTTTGATAGTCTCTTGTGAAACAAACACCATGACTACATTTTCTTTCCTAACAAGATAGTGCCGAATGCTAATCTTTCATTAAGATTTACTATCAAATTCTTGCTTTGGGCCACACATTTTGTGAGTCACAATTTCAATGATGTTGCTGTTGTTGAATTGAGTACCTTACCTCCACATAGACCATTGCTGCTTCTCTGCTGATCTTCACCTGGTGAAGCTGCCCATCAGCCATGTTTTTAAAACCAAGGTTAAAAACATCAGGTTCTTGGTGTCTGTCCAGCTTATACCTGATCTGTAAACTTCCTACGAACAAAGAAAATGTCATTTTAACTAAAGTACAATTTTATAAAAATTGTCATTATAGGTTCTACAGCACATTTTATTTTCATATATTGTCATTTATTTAATACAAATGAATCTATTGAGCATTTTCTCATGTGCACCAGTAGTCACTTCTCCTGGAGTTGCCCTCACTTATTGCTAGTCCAGGGCCACATTCAGAGTTTAACTGTACCATTTTAAAAGTTAAGACCAAGAGGTCTCTTTTCAAGTTGTATTCTCTCTAAAGAAAAAAAGTTTAAGTTAAGCATATGAAAACTTAGAGCTAGGCTCTACGATAATTCATGCTATTAAATAGCTAAAGTTCCAGCAGCATTACATTAACATTCAGTTCCCACAAGCACAACTTCTTATAACGTGTCTTATTTAATGCATTTTAAATGATTCTGACATTTACATAATTAATTTTGTGTACTGATTTTAGATTTTTCTAATGTTTCTACCATAATCAAGAAATAAGGTGTCCTGCTCCACACACTACCCTTCTTCACAGGTGCACCACCATCTCTTAACCTTCCCACCCACAGATCCTATTGGTCAGAAACTGTGGGAAGCTTTTCTAGAAGTTTGATTTCTCCCCTCCTCTCCAAGGTTAAAGCTGGGGTTTGTCCTCCAGCTGGAAGAGTCTTGGAAAGCCTTGACAGCCATGGGTTTGGTAACTCATCCTGCATTTTTTTTTTTAATGTAGGTATGACTTCTCAGTGGTAAAAACCAATCACATTTATCAGATGTTATGACTATTTGTTTTTATATCACTTAATGTACTTCTTCATATTGCTTAGAAGTTGAAGGAAGTATTTTATGTATATAGAATATCTTATTTCAAAGTGATCTGCAAAACTAATTTGGATTATTCATGTACAGAAGGAAAAGCCTCCTGGTAAAAACAGTTTCACATCAAATACATAAACTGATGAAAATTTTATGAGCAAAATGCATCTTATTTTAATCATTGAGCTGATAACATTAGTGATAAATATGTGAGGCTATCATACAAAATAAAACAACCCTATAAAAAGAAAGCTGCGGAACACACAATTGTGTTTCCTTATTTGTAGTTTAACACTGAAAGGGCACAGTCCTCATGGTCCTAATTTCCTAATTCAGTTTTGTTCTCACACTAGAGATACTCACCATTGGGGGCAAGGATAACAGAGAGGTATTCCTCAGAGAAGGAGCTTACATACAGCAGTAAACTGGGAGTCCCTGTGGTTCGGAAACTCAATGTGGTCATTTCTCTGGTCAGTGTCAGATTCTCGTGAAATAAAGCTGCCAAGGAGCTGGAGTTCTTACTGAAGGTGTGATTATAATGTTCTTGGAAACTGTAGATAACTGATGAGCCAGTTCCAAAATATGCAGAAATTTCTGGAATGTCACAAATTTTTGTTATGTTTACAATATGTAAGAGCAAGGGTCTTATTTTATGTATATTTAAAGAACATTGCTAATCCTTAAGTATCCCAAGAGATAAAGTAATAATGACATGCTTTACTGGTGTTTTCTTTTACTTTAAAAACTTTAAACACTGTTGGTGGGAATTATAAATTGGTGCAGTCAGTATGGGAAAGCTTGAAGATTCCTTAAAAAATTAAGATTAGAACTACATATAATCCAGCTAAACTGCTGAATTTTCATCTGAAGAATATGAACACTAATTAGAACACTAATCCAAAGAGATTTATGTACCCCCATGTTCATCATACACTATAGCCAAGAGACGGAAACAACCTATCTGCTTATGGGTGTATGAGTGGGTAAAGAGCAATGGTATACCATTCAGATACAAAAAAAAAAAAAAAAAAAAAAAAAAGAAGATAAAATGCTGTGATTTGAAACAACATAAAAGCATGTAAAAAGCATTATGGTAAGTAAAACAAGTCAGATGCAGAAAGATTAGTATCATGAGACTTCACTAATGAAACAAATGAAGGAACAAAACAAAACAAAAACAAACTCTGAGACTACAACAGCAAAATAATGCTTACCAGAAAGATAGGAGGAGAAGGGGGTGCACAAAAGGAGCCAATTATATGGTGATGGATAGAAAATAGAATTTGGTAATGAGCAAAATGTAGTATATTAAGTTGACATACAAGTCTGTACTCTGAACACCCAAGACACAATGTTATAAACCGATGCTACTTCAATATAATGATTAAAAATATGTGACTTAGATAACTAAACCCTCCATATTCTTATAACCCAGAATTGAATAGCAAAATAGTATTGCTTGGTCCCCAAATGCTTCATCGTAAAATTATATAAAATTAGATGTCCAGTGTAAATATGTAGTTGAGGTTATTGCTCTCTTAGGGGTGGGGTTGCACTAAGAGGCCTTTAAAACAGTCAGAGAGGACAGGTACCTGCTCTGACATAAGCAGTCATGGGCATCTGAAAAATAGAATCATTATCTCTTCCCAAGTTAAATAGGGGAATGAGGGACAGAAACAATTCTATTTCCGCCCATTACAGAAATTGCCTTGTCCTTTGGTAACAGTGTCACGTGCCAAAGTCGCACTTCATAGTTTGTTTCCCATCCTTTCCTGGAACCCGACAGGAATCACCTCACCCTCTGTGCAGAAGGGCCCGTTGTAGGCAGAGAAGGTGCAGTCGCAGGCGATCCCCCTCCTCTTCTCTCTACACTGCCCGCCGTTGCGGCACAGGTGACCATAGCTGCGGCAGTGGCCTGGGCACCCTGGTTCCACTCCTGGTGTCATCGTGGCTCTTTCTTCCAGGTCCAGGGCCAACCCATTCAACTGCAGGGACCGAATGCATCCCAGGAAACCTCTCTGTCTGGTTGCGGTGCCACCTGCAAGGGGAACACTGCAAATGTCCATGTGTTCCACGTGTCTAATCCCACTTTCATCCATTCGGCCCATTGAGGGCAAAAGGATAATGCTCAAAAATTTACCTGTGGAACATTTTATAAACAAATGTGATTTTGAAAATATGGGTTGTGATCAAATGTTAGGAATCATCAAACCAGATTGGGTAAACCATTAAGGAACTTAAAAAAAATATTTATTTATTTTATACAAGAACTGGGGTACAGGTCAGATGCGCAGGAGGGTGAGAGGATTTACCAGAGACATAGCGGGGAACAGAACAGGCAGAATGACAAAATACACTGCTGAGGGGAGCAGTGGGCGATACAGGAGAGGTCTGCGCGCCATGTGGGACCCTCGCGGGCTGGCTGGGAACCCAAACCGGCGCTGTCTAGGCTGCAAACAGCTTCATAGCACAGAGCTCAACTGCCTGCGCCACCAGGGGAGGCCCAAGGAACTGTTTTTTAAAGTTGAACTTGATATTCTTTCTTTTTTTTTAAAAAAAAATATTTATTTATGCATACAAGAACTGGGGTATAGGCCAGAGATGCGGGGGGTGAGAGGATTCACCATAGACAGAGTGGGGAACAGAACGGGCAGACTGACTGAAATGCACTGCTGAGGGGAGCAGTGGGCAAGTCAGGAGAGGTCTGCTGTGCCATGTCGGTAGCTCCCTGGCCAGCCCGGGATCAAACTCGTGCTGCAGAGGCTGTGGATTGCGTCATAGTGCAGTACTTAACCACTTGCACCACCAGGGAAGCCCCATGAATTTGATATTCTTTCTAAAGTTACAGTTTGAAATATTTTTACATTTGTTCTTTTTTTTTTAAAGATTTATTTATTTATTTATACATGAACCGGGGTACAGGCCATATTTACAGGAGGGTGAGAGGATTCACCAGAGACAGAGCAGGGACCAGAACAGAAAAACTGATGAAATACACTGCTGAGGGGAGCAGCAGGAGCAACATGACAGGTCTGCTGTGCCATGTGGGACCCTTGCTGGCCGGCCGGGATTGAACCGGCGCTGCAGAGGCTCAGACAGCTTCACAGTGTGGCGCTCAGCTGCTGCACCACCAGGGAGGCCCTACATTTGTTCGTTTCTAAGGAACAAAATGGCTCTTTTTAAAGTTTTAAAATGATTATGTGATTAACAAAGTTTACATAGTTGAAAGTTTTGTGATATATTGATATGCATTATAAAGGTAACAGAGATGCAAGTTTTTATAACACACAAAATATGTACTTGTTTATATATATTTGTATATTATATATTTTTGAATTTTTGCATATATGTAATACAAATTCTCACTTAGAAAAGCTCTCAATAATAAAGCCGTGAAAAGGATTTTAGGAGGAGGTAAGAAAAGGGAGAAAGGGTGAAGCCAAAGTCTAGGGCCTCAGGGCTGCCTTCTCTGTCTACATGACTCTGAAGTCAGGTGGTGTAACATTAACTGAATAATTTACATCTCTCTCTGTTTTCATGATGTTGCATGGAAACTCACAAGTCACTTGGAGAGACTGCTTAAAACACAAATTTGAGGGCTCATTTCAGGGGTTCTGATTCAGTAAGCCTGGGGTAGGATCCTCAAATCTGAATTTGCAAGTAGCTTCTCAGACTTTATAAACATGACCTTTGTTGGAAAGCTAATTCTATGTAGGTTTCCATGATAATTTTGTTTTTAGCTATCCCATTAATTAATCTTCAGGATTATAAATCAGAAAATAAAATTGTTTCATTTGATAGTTTGATGACTTAAAATCAAGTTTCAACTCTGTAAGAAGTATAGTGTGGTTGAAGCTGAGTTTTATGGTGCCATTAGTTGTGTACACACACACACACACACACACACACTGAATATGAATTCACTGCATGGCATTAACCCCTACAGGCTACAGGCATCTCCTGGCAAATCAGATGGTGTGCTAATTTGTGGTTTACACCAGATTTTAATTGGATGGTATACTAATTTATTTTAAAATATATGACAAATGACCAAGTGAGAGTTACTTCATCAATTTGCATAGTTTCCAAATTAGAAACTGAAAAGTAATATAGCAAAACTTGTTTTCCCTTTGGGAAAATCTAACAATACAAAATAATAAGCAAGTAAACTAAAGGGAAGACTTGTACCACCTGAACTTTAAGCTTTAAAGAATGTATGGTGAGAATAAAGGAGCTAGGCCAGATTCAAAACATGTATGCAATGAGTTTGCAGTGGGGAGAGGTGAGGACAGAGAGAATCCAGGTTCCAGTCTGCTCAAATTCCTACTGTACATAGCCACACCAGGAGTCTCTGCCAAAGTGGTTTCCTAAGGTCTGTTTTTGAGGCAGCACTGGTGAATTCTGTACCAATTACACAGAGAGTTCTTTAATTTTCCTGAGAATGAATTGGGAAAAATGAATAAAAATTTCTAATTGTTTTATAAATAATGTTGATTAAAAGTAACTGAAACAAGCTTTGAAATCAGTCCCATGGTTAGAAGTCCAACTTGAGGTTGAATTTTTCCTTTGGCTGGATTTCTGTGGTCAAGTCACTTGAACTTCCTGAGCCTCCACTATCTCATCTGTAAATTGTACAATAACCTATGGAAATAGACACTACAATAGTTGTTTACAACTGCTATTATGACATTCTTTTGTGATTACGATTTTTCCTTGGTCCTTCTCAGTATTCCCAGCGCAGCTGAGCGATAAGCTGGCAGCAACTCACCCACAAAAAGCTGGCTGTTGAGCTGCAAGCGAGCGTGCCCGTCAGCGGGGGCTGGTTGGGTCTTTGGAGGGAGCTGATCCACTTGAAGAGATGCTTCTTTAATGTTCCGCTCTGCCCTCACATGGTGCCACTGATTGTCGTTAAAGGGAGTGGGGGACTGCACTGTGACCTCACAAGGTCCATTCCCCACATCAAAGGAGAAGGTCACTTGGGAGGGAGCTGGAAATATAGGTAAGAGAGTTAGTTGTTCAAGCTCATTAACATAGGAGAAAATTTAGTCTTGAACAGATATGACAAAAGCACCATTACATGCTCATTATAAAAGGGAACTTTGACACTGGTGCAGACAAATGTCAGTCCGAGCTGACTAGCAGTACAATGTTAATTTGTATCCCAGAGGAGGAAAAGCAAATCTGGTTTTCACTATTTAAATCAGAGTTTACTATTCATCTTGCAGAGCCCTACAGAGGAGAGATATTTGTATTTAGAAAGAAAACTGGCATGTTAACTGTCTTCATATGTCTAATTCAGTTTATTTAAAAGTGATTTAGATATCCATACAGTTTCAAAAGCACTATGTGAAATTTTGATAGTAAGGATTTAAACCTTGTTTATATGAAAAACGTGACTAATCAGGTAAATAAAATAATGTTATAATTTAGAAAGGAACTATTTGACCAGCTTAGTTTAATAGTCTGATTATACACTAAGTGAAGATAGCACAACATTGTCAGGGACTGTTCTGTGATCCATGAACCTGTTTTACTCTATTAAATATGATTATTTAAAATAATAGAATTTTGGACTCTCTCCTACTCCCTGTTCAACAGACAGCCACTTTTTATAACTCAATGTCAGCTGTGTCCCTGAGATATGAGTGAAGGTTTGAGTAAAGGGATTTGGAGATATTGGCTCCTGGCCACCAAGGCACTCTGGCAAAGTAAATATTGTTTCCATTAATGGCCCCTACATTGACCTCAACTACATGTTATAGTGTGATTCTATTCAATGCAAGCTCATTGGGACAGTGAAGGGTAAGAATAGAAATCTTGTCATCAATGGAAAATCCATTTCCATCTTCCAGGAGTGATATCCCACCATCAGTGGGGTGATGCTGGTGCTGAGTATGTTGTGAAGTCCACTCGTGTCTTCACTACCCTGGAGAAGACTGGAACTCATAAAGGGCAGGGCCAAAGTGACCTTCTCTACCACTTCTGCTGATGTTCTATATTTGTGATGGGCATGAACTATGAGGATAACAACTCCACCAACATTGTAAGCAATACCTGCTACATCAACTGCTTATTCCTCCTGACAAATGTCATCAGTGATAACTTTGACATTATGGAGGGACTCATGATCACACTCGATGCCATCACTTCCCCACAGAAGAACACTGAATGCCCTTCTGGGAAGCTGTAGAGTGATGTCCAAGAGGATGCTCAGAACCGTAATTCTTGCTTTAATTGGCACTTCCAAGGTTATAGTCAAGGCCATTCATTCTTAAGCTGGACAAGAAGTTTTCTGGCATGGCCCTCTGTGTCCCTACCCTAAACATGCCAGTAGTGGATCTGACCTGCTATCTAGAGAAAGTTGTTAAATACAATGACATCAAGAAGGTGGTAAAGTAGGCATCACAGGACCTGTCAAGGATACCCTTGGTTACACTGAGTACCAGGTACTCAACAGTGACACCCACTGTTTCACCTTTGATACTGGGGCTTGCATTGCAGTCAACAAGTTTGTCAAGCTCACTTTTGGTGTGCCATGAATTTGGATTTAGCAAAGAGTGGTGGATCTTATTGTCCATATGGCTTCTAAGAAGTTAAGAGTCCCCTGTATCACCAGCCCCAGTGAGAGCACAAGAGGAAGTAAGAGACCCCTTGACTGCAGCAAAGTTCTTCCTCCAGGTATACAACATGAGAATCTCCTAACTCCATCACATTTTTATCCCAGACCTCTAACTCATGTGCCATTAATAAAGTATACTATAGTCAGGAGGGAAATAATTGCAGCATTTAATAAAGAAATACAACTGGCATAGGAATTGTATCAATGTTAGGTCACGAAGGGGTTTATTGCTAATTAGAGTGCCCAGCTCGAGTGACTCACAGTGCAATTCCAACCTGATGAAGTCCATGATCCCCAGATTCTCTACAAACACCCCAGAGGGAGCAGTTGTCTTAAAAAAGAAGGATACATCAGCACTAAGCTCTCCATGGAATGTAGGAAAATGAAGGTATGATGTTTCTGTATTGAAGGAAGCTGAATTCCAAAATAAATCTATTTACAAAAAAGAAAAAAAAATAGTGAAAACAATGAAACAAAGTGAATAACAATTACATTTTATATTCCTAGAATTTTTTAACATCAAATGCATTAATTATCTATGAAAACCTTCATTTTGGGGTTCTAACATGAGCCATGGGTAAAGTTCAAATAGTGATTCTGTAGAGGATTAAGATTCTGGATATGGCTGCAACTGAGGGGAGGGACTCATGAAAATGACCTGTTTTATTTTTTTTTTTTAAGTAATCATAGAGCAAAATTGACTTTTTGAGCCATACAGTTAATGTGAATTTTAACAAATGCAAGTCTTTGTGTAACCATCAACTAAAGCAGGATAAAGAACAGTTTCATTACTCCCCCAAAACTCCCTTATAGTCATACCCTCCTCCACCTTTTTTTTTTTTAATTTTTTATTTTATTTATTTATTTATACATGCACTGGGTACAGTCAGAAGCGCGGGAGGGTGAGAGAATTCACCAGAGCCAGAGCGGGGAGCAGAGCAGGCAGAAGGACCCACGTACACTGCTGAGGGGAGCAGCGGGCGGCAGGAGAGGTCTGTGCGCCAAGTGGGACCCTCCCTCAGGTGGCCGGGGAGCAGCCGGGGATCAAACCGGTGCTGCAGAGGCTGCAGGCAGCTTCACAGCCCAGCGCTCAACCGCTGCGCCACCAGGGGAGGCCCCTTCCTCCACCTTTAACCTCTGGCTTCCACAATTTAGTCTCTGTCTCAATAGGTTGAGACACAAAATTGGAATTGTGTAGTACCTGACCTTTTGAGACTGTCTTCTTTCATTTGGCATAAAGTCTCTGAGATCCATTTGGGTTGCTTCATGTATTCATTTCTGCTTACTACTCTGTAGTGTCACATCATAGGATTATGTCACACTTTATTTGTTCATATTTGAGAACACTAGGTTTGTTCTAGATTCTCACAATTACATGAAAAGCTGCTACAAACATTTGTGTACAGGTTGTGAATATGAGTTTTGATTTCTCTAGGGTAAATACTCAGCAGTAGAAATCCTACGTCATATGGTAACTATGTTTCACCTTATTTTTTTTTTTATTTTTAAAAATTTATTTTATTTATTTATACAAGCACTGGGTACAGTCAGAAGCGCGGGAGGGTGAGAGAATTCACCAGAGCCAGAGCGGGGAGCAGAGCAGGCAGAAGGACCGAAGTACACTGCTGAGGGGAGCAGCGGGCAGGACAGGAGAGGTCTGTGCACCATGTGGGACCCTCCTCCGGTGGCCGGGGAGCAGCCGGGGATCGAACTGGTGCTGCAGAGGCTGCAGGCACCTTCGCAACCCAGCGCTCAACCGCTGCGCCACCAGGGAGGCCCTGTTTCACCTTATTTTTTAAAATTAATTTTTATTAATTATTTTTTTATTTTTTTACACCATTGTTCATTTTTATAAGACAATATTAAAAAGATTTCAAAGTGGGTGTACCATTTCGCATTCCCATCTACAATATGTAAGTTATTCCACTGTTTCATTATCTTTACCAGCACTAAATATTATTAGTAGTTACGCTAGCATTTCAAATTGGTCTAAAGTAGTTTCTTGCTATGGTTTTAATTTGCTTCCTCTCATAGATGAAGACATTGATTATCCTTTCATATGCTTATTTCCAACTCATACCCTCTTTGGGGGGGTGTGTCTGTTCAATTTCAGTAGAACTAACATCTTTCCCACACTGTCTTCCAACCCATGAACACAGTGCATCTATTTATTTATTTATTTATTTATATATTTATTTGTGGGACCCTCGCCGGCGGCCGGGGAATGAAACTGCGGGCAGCCTCGCAGCCCAGCGCTCAACCGCTGCACCACCAGGGGGGGCCCAGTACATCTATTTATTTAGATTTAAAAAATATTGTAAATATTTAATAATTTTTTTAACTATAGAACCTACATGTTTTTGTTATATACCTAAATATTACCATTTTGGAGCTATTTAAAATGATATTGTTTGGTAAATTTGGTTTCCAATTGTACATTGCTAGCATACATGATTGATTTGTCTGTGTCATGTTTGTATGCTGCAATCCTGTTATTCTAATGACTTTTTTATAGATTCCAATATTCTGTATTTTCTAATTAGATGATTGTCCATATATCTACAAACAGTTCTCTTTCTTATTTTCCAATTTGCATGCACTTATTTTTGGTCTGATACTATTTTTTAAAATTAATTTTTTTTTTTAATGCATACAAGACCTGGGTACAGTCCAGAGGTGTGGAAGGGTGAGAGGATTCACCAGAGACAGAGCAGGGAACAGAACATGCAGATTGACTGAAGTACACTGCTGAGGGGAGCAGTGGGCAAGACAGGAGAGTCTGCTGCACCATGTGGGTTGTTCCCTGGCCGGCCGGGGATTGAACTCATGCTGCAGAGGTTGTGATTGCTTCAAAGTGTGATGCCTCCCTTGCATCACCAGGGAGGCCCCTCTGTTCTGATACTATTACACTAGCTAGGACTTCCAGTATGATAAAATTGTTGCATAGAAGGGGTGAGATCCTTATCTTGTTGTCAATTTTAGGAGGGAAATTCAGTTTTTTATCACTAATTATTATGCTAGTGTTGTGTTAAATATTCTCTATTAAGTAGTGAAAGTTACCTTAATTTGCTAATAATTTTATTATGAAAACAATCTTGATATAAATTACCCTGTCAGGTTTTTTTTTTTTTCCAAAGATTTATTTATTTTTATACAAGAACCGGGGTGTAGGCCAGATGCGCGGGAGGGTGAGAGGATTCACCGGAGACAGAGGAGGGAGCAGAACAGGCAGACTGATGAAATACAATACTGAGGGGAGCAGCACGCAAGACAGGAGAGGTAAGCTCCACCATGTGGGATACTTCCCAGCCAGCTGGGATCAAACCCGCGCTGTAGAGGCTGTGGACGGCTTCACAGTGCAGCGCTCAGTCTGGATGGTAGCCTGTTAGCTATGTTATCAACAACTTTACTCCATAATTAGGATCAGATCCATGCATACTGAGCTCTGAGATCAACCTAGGACTTTATTAAACAACTTATGGCATCATTTTCTTGAACTCTTTCCTCTCTATGTTTTTCCATATACTTTTTAGTACCTGGTTCTCCTTTGAATCTCAGAGTCAGAAAACTGAGGGTGTGCGCACTCTATTCAGCTTGTTCTGTTGCACAGCTTGTTCTGTGCACATATACACTTGTCCAACTATATCCCTGGCCATTGCCAAATACTGGTTAAATAGGAATAGAATAAAAAAGGTAACACAAATCTTGCCACCATCTTTAAGACACAGTTTCCCTGTTGAGAGTGGATAGGCCCTGCCTTCAGAGGTCTGGCTCTTACAGACCTCTTTGCTCTTGGTCACATGATTTTCAATATCACTTTGATATCAGTGGTATTCATGTTTATTCATAAGTTCAGCCTCCCTGAAATGTCAAGACAGCCTCTATCTCTATTACCATGAAGCTGTCTGGAGACTACAGCTTCAGAAAATATAGAAAAGGGGAAAATGAAATTAAAGCATTCCCTGGGGAGTAAGGTGTTTCTATTCCCTCCTTCAACAGGACAGAGGGCTTTTCTGGGAGTTTTTTATTCTGTAACAGTGCTTGTACTGCAAACTGAGAAATGCTAGATGAGAGGTTACATGATGAATTCTGGATGTTCTTCCCTGTTACTATTGCCTTTCAGAACTCTGAGAAAACTTGCATGCATTCTCTCAGGTTTTATAGGTGAGTTCAGTAGGAAAAATACAGTATGGTTTACTTAATTTATCTAACCAAAAACAGAACTATGGCTTGCATTTTCACATCATGAGTGAGAAGAACAATTTTTGATACTGTAGTATTGGCATATTAAGAAAATGTTCCAGCAGGCAGAAGTCCAGAATAGGTTTTTTCCAATGTGTCACCTTGGTATGTAAAACTAAGGTCAACTGAAGTCTTGTGAGCCTCTGGAGAAGCTATTACCATTATCTTAAAAATTCAGGTTACCAGGCCTCCCTGGTGGTGCAGAGGATTGAGTGCCTCACTGTGAAGCTGTCTCTAGCCTCTGCAGCACAGGTTTGTTTCCCGGCTGCCAGGGAGATACCCACAGGGTGCGGCAGACCTCTCCTGCCTTGCCCACTGCTCCCCTCTCCTCCCCTCAGCAGTGTCTTCAGTCCATCTGCCTGTTCTGCTCCCTGCTCTGTCGCTGGTGAATTCTCTCACCCTCCCATGCCTCTGGCCTGTACCCCAGTTCTTATATAAATAAATAAATCTTAAAAAAAAAGAATTCAGATTACCTAGATTTAGGAGCATCATAAAAATAAACTTTTTATTGGAAACCTACCAAACTAAGGCAGTGCAAACATTTAGAGGCAAGGTTTGATTATAGGAAGTCATCCTGTCCTTGCTGTGAGACCCCATCTTCTCTACTTGACAACTCAAGCATCAGTGCCATTCCTTAGCATAGAACATAAATTCCCAGTTTGTCCCATTTACTTTAGAATTTAAAGTCATGTACATTTTTAATACACATGAAATTAAATTTGATCTTTTCTTCTACTAATCTTATGTTAATATGCTTGCTCATCTAGCCCAAGAAGAACCCAAAAGAGGTTTAGGGGGATTTCCCATTACCTCTCTGCTCCCCATACCCCTATAATATACTCTCTTCAGTCAACGTGAGATAATATGGTCCCCCATATTTAGACAATCTACAGCTCAATTCTTACTTTTTTTTCAATAATAAGTGTTAAGAACATTGGGATTTTCTCACATAGGACTTCAGGGAGGGTTGTGGTTTCACAGGCTCCTCTGAGGGACTGCTAGACATATGAGGCAGCATAGCCACCATGGTCTTGGTGGACATTGTCCTCTGGCCTCTACTCTGATAGGCAAGCCATTGGACAGTTAGAAATAAAAGACTGACGTGACCTCATTGTACTCCCTCTGACTGCTGGGTGAAGTATCAGCTAAGAGGGTAGAGGCAGTAGCTCAGTTATAGGGCCACAGCAACAATCCAGACAGAGGTACTCATGGAGGTGGTCTGGATCCATTTTTGAAGTTGTAAGCAATGAGACTGCTGATGAATTAGCTAAGAGAGCAAAGAGAAGTTATCACTGCCTATAACTTTTTCAATCTAATGAGCAACAGAAAGAATAGCATTACCACACACTGAGTTGGGAAGGCTGTTGTGGAAACGTTTTCTGTTTACTTTTTGACAAGTTGGATGAAATATACATTGCAAATCAAATAGAGTACAGAATAGCCAGTTTGATGCAGGAGTTGGAATTTCAGAGATACCGAGCTTAATAAACCACTGAATGGACCACTGATATCAAAGTGACATGGAAAGTCATGCGACTAAGAACAAAGGGGGGACAGCTGAGGAAGGAGGCTTGGGGCAGCCAGGACAAGATGAAGGAAGCCTGGGAAGGAGGAAGGAAGGAAAGAGGAAAACTAGGATTTTGTTGTAGTTGGTCACCAAGTAAAAAGAATAAGAAAGAAATCCAGGTGCATTTGGGCAGAGGTTATATAAGGTCTCCTGTATAAACATTCAGAATTGCCAGAGGCATTGCCAGAGGCAGGTACACTTGATGGCACCTGCCCTTGTTTTCTCATTATTGTACCCACTTTAGAAATCTGAGCACTCAGCAAAGTGCCTTATACTTTATGGGTGTATATTAGATGTTCAGGGACCAAGGGATTGAATATTTAAGATGGTTCTATGAGTCTTCTATATAAAAGATAATTATCCACATGGAATATAATTATTCTTAGTTTTCTCAATTATGATTAAAAAATATTCTATAAGTGCATGCCTGCCTAATGAAATAAAGATTGGAAAAACATTGTTTTTAGAACCCATGCAGTCAATTTCTCATAAAACATCGATATGTATTCTCAGGGGCCAAGACAGTTCCTTTTGCAACTACTTACTGTCTCCCTGGCAGAGCAGAGGCCCCAAGGAGTAAGTTGCTTCAGCATGTGGTTGGCTTGTGTCTGTTGTCACAATCTGAGTGACTGGCAGGTGCTCCTTATGGGAAAGCACTACAGTGTCACTAGCCCTAGAAAACAAATAAAAACACTGGAAATTATTTTGGAAAACATACAGACAAGTAATCATCTTTTATTGCAGTTCAGGAAGTATTAAGCTAAATTTGTAAATACACAGCAGTAGGGAAATCAGTGGGTCATCTAATGTTTACAAAGATAGAAATGTACTTAAAGGGGTCATCTGAGGAACAAAGATCATGTTCCTTGACATGAGTACAAAGAAAGTGTGCAGATCCTGATCCGTGGTCAGAAGTGCAGGCATGGGATTACATTTTCAATCCCATTGAGTAATTACTCTTTCCAAGTTAGCCATTGCGTAATAAATGCACAACTGACATATGCAAGTAAGAGTGATCTGCTTTTATGAAAAGAAAAAGTACTTGATTGACATGATTTAGGTTTATGCTTTCAGTTCAGTGTAGGTTATGGTTACTAGGCATTTCCTTACTTGTTGATGCTGTAAATTTTAAAACAAACAAAGTTACTAATTCTAAACCAAGATGAAGATGTGATATAATGCACTGCCAAAATGAATGAATGGCTAATGCATGGGAAATTGCTTCTTCAGTGAGTGTCACTATCCATTCATTTGACATTTGGCACACATGAATATGCCAGGCCCTGTGTGTAGGGGATGTGGACATAAAAACCACCATTGGTGTCCCCAGGAAGTCTATTGATATTTTAAGGGGTAATATAGCCATAATAATATCATCATGTAACTGAATATTTGAGGAACAGTAGTACCCATGGTTCCAACAAAATAAGGACTGAAATGGGAGGCAGGGAATTTGGTGGTAAGCTGGCTTTGTCAGCAACATCTCGTCTGGAGACAAAATAAGAAGATTTTGCTACACCTTGTAAGCTTTTTATATTTTTCATTTTTCACTCCAGTTACTTTAGACTTATTGACAATTAACAGCTTCCCTAATTCATCATTATGATTCATTGTATCTGTGTAGACCCTAGAGAGTTTTCAATTCTAACAATTACTGAGCCACGACTCACTCCAGTCTATGAAACTTGAAAACTTTTATACCTCTGCTCTCGCAGGTCAAAAAATTAGCCATTTCTTATGGTTCAACATAATAGTTTTGTGGCAAAGAAAACTGAATAATTTAACAGTCATGCCAAAATATACTTTTCATACAAAATATATTTTTAAAATAGAAAAGTTAAAATTATTGAAAATTGTCTATTGCTAGGGTTTTAATAAGTTACTAGCAGTGCATATAATAAGATTTAAAAAATCCTGAAAATTAAGAAAAAAAATAATCAGATTAGTCCAAAAATCAGATAAAATAAAATAACATTTGTTTGATCCCTTCTAAGAGAACACAGACATTTGATACCAAACACTTAGCCCCCAGTTGTCTTGGGAACTGGTGGTCAACAAGCTAAATTGTGCCATTATAACATGGGGAAGTCAGTCTGGAATTTATTTTGCTATAAATGCAGGGATAACACATCAAAATCCTGGTGTTCAAACTATCAATAAATGTTTTATCTCAATCAATAAAGGTTGATTGCTATTTGGTTGAACATTCTAAGGAAAAATGTAAGTATATTTAGTTGTTCATTGAAGATCCTTGAATTTTTAAAAAGCATCTAAAAGTTAACACTTTTTTAATGTAGTGAAAAGCTACATTTTAATTCTGCTTTTAGCATAGACAATGCATACAAATTTCTGAAAAAATCTTAAGGAAAATCATATGTTTTGTGTGTGTTAAGGCACATATTATAATAGTCTTTTTTTAAAGATTTATTTATTTATGCATACAAGAACTGGGGTACAGGCCAGAGGTGTAGGGGGTGAGAGAATTCACCAGAGACAGAGTGGGGAACAGAATAGGCAGAATGACTGAAATACACTGCTGAGGGGAGCAGCAGGTGAGTCAGGAGATGTCTGCTGCACCATGTGGTAGCTCCCTGACCAGGGATCGAACTCGTGCTGCAGTGGCTGCAGATAGTTTCATAGGTTGCGCCCTAACCCCTTGCACCACCAGGGAGGCCCTATAATAGTCTTTTTCATTTTGTTGTTGCAAAGTACCTTCCTGAATCTAAGGACATTTTAAATACTTTTATTTAAAAGTTCTTTATTAACACAAAATATCATAAATTGCCAATGCCATCAGATTCATTCAAAATTGCCTAATTTATAATTACATCTCAGTTTTCTCCTTGCTTTTCTATTCTTTTAAATTTTATGAACAACGCATGATAATTTTTTGCAATAGTTTTAAGCATTCAGTAAGAGAAATTCTACATCTATTAGTTACCAAGCTCTTGAAATTATTCTTACTCTTTGTTGTTTTTCAGTAGACTTTTTTGAGATATAATAGAACTTTGACTACTTTATTGGAAAGGCTGCATGGAAGAAATATTGGGTCAACTTTCATGTTTTATAATTCTTTAAGAAAAAGAGGGACTGATGACAATATAATTATCATTCAGAATTATATATTTTGAAAGCTATTAGTTTCACTGCCCTGTGTGATCATCCCTCTGGGAGCCCCAGGTTGTATTAATTGCTACATCACTGCAACACTTCTTCATATCCAGTAGGGCTTCTCTCTGACCTTGTTTCCATCTTCTGAATTGTCTTAGTTATTCTTACTCAATTTTAAAATTGAATTTTGTCACCATCCAAAAGAATAAACTGATATTTGGCATTTGTTTGGAATTAAATGAAATCAAGAAAATCATTTGGGGAGAGTTGTAGTATTCATGACAGTAGTCATTACATGATGTCTCTACCTACTTAAATCTTATATTCTCATAATAAACCTCTATAATATAATTTTTGCACAAGTATTTCATATTTATGTTATCTTTATTCCATGGTACTATACTGTTTGTTACCTTTGCAAGTATTTTTTATAGTAATACCTCATAGAAACATATTCTTCTTAAGAACTGAGTTGTTCTAAGATTCAGTAACCTTACTAATCTCTCATTAATTTCAACAATAGTTTTATAGTTCTGCATATTCTCTTGGGTTTTCTTTGTGGACAACCATATTGCCTATAAATAATGTAGTCTTTATTTTTCTTGCTTCCAATATTTTGTGGCTTTTGAACTATATTATATTTACTTATTATCTATTATTCATTTCTAAAATCACTGCCTTGTAATAATCATAGAAACTGTCCAACTATTGTAATTTTTTGTTTTATTTTATGTAATATTAGGAAAACCAGTTTGTAAAAATACGCATGTGTCCTTCAGAAAATTTGTATTATATAATTGTATGTGCCTAAATCAACCTGATAATTTCATTTAAATATATTTTATATCCCTACTTTTGTTCACTTGACTTTCCATTTATTGACAGATATATATAAACCTCTTCTTATCATGGTTGATTTGTTAATATGTTTTAGTTCTGTCAGATTTTTTCTATATACATTTTGAATTATTTTTTATTAGAAGTATACAAGTTTTGGATCATTAGTTCTTTCTGGCAAAATCAAAAAGCATTATTACATAGAGGTAGTAAACTTTGTTCATATTCATTCTTTAGAAACTTACTTTTAATTTTATTTGTCTGGTAAAATATATTTTTAGCATTTTATTTTCAATGTTTCTGGATGTGCAAAGAAGAAATACTTTTTAATTCAATATGATATATATGATTAAAGTGGATATTTCTGTGACATTTATTGTTCATGATTACTCAAACATTGCTTTTATTTTCCACTTGCTCCTTTCTCTGTTTTTAATCTAATTTCCTATCTCCTATTGGATGAACTGTTTTATAATCCATTTTTGATACTATATTTCTATTCTTTCAGAGATCACATTTAAAATTTTAAGGTATACACTTTAAGCAATTTAATGTTAATAAATATTTACAAAACACATTTTAAATCTTTTCAATTCTGAACATGCTTTTTAATTTTGTAAGTTATAATCCTTGCTTATACAATATGATTGCTTTCTCACTTTTTTTCTTTTTATTTATTTATTTATGTATTTATTTTGTGGGACCCTCGCCGGTGGCTGGGGATCAAACTGGCGCTGCAGAGGCTGCGGGCAGCCTCGCAACCCAGCGCTCAACCACTGTGCCACCAGGGGAGGCACAGCTTTCTCACTTTTTTAATCTCATAGATATATGTATGTATACATATACACACACAAACGCACACACACACACACACACACACATATATATATATATTATTGATGTCTTTTACCTCTTGGTTTTTAAACTCTGACTATACAAATTTCTTTTATATATATATTTCTTCATGCATCTGAGATGTTTCTAACAAGCCCTTTTTCTTTTTCTCTTTTACTTTTGTGTAGAAGTATTGGGGAGCAGGCCAGAGGGGTGGTGAGAAGATTCATCAGAGACGGAGTGGGGTGAAGAACAGATGGATTTACTGAAATACACCGCTAAGGGGAGTAGCAGGCAAGACAGGCGAGGTCTGCTGAGCCATGTGGGTTAGCTCCCTGGCCAGGGATCAAACTCAGGCCATAGAGGTTATAGAGCTGACACTTAACCCCATGCCCCCAGAGAGGCCTATTAAGTTCTTTTGCTTTCATTCTAAAAATGATTCCTTAAAATTCTTTTTTTGTGGAATTTCTTTGTGGTATATTTCTTCAGCATCTGTCTAGAGATCCATTTTGTTTCACTTTTAAAATTGTCTGCTGGGTAAATGCTTGGAATCTGACAACTGTTTTACTTCTGAACTGGGACAAGAGTGTCCTACTGTCTATGGCTGCTCTCTGCTTTGAGGGAAGGTATTTTGCTGTCTAATTGTCTATTCCTTCTAGCATTCTTTTTAGTATTCTTTGATTTCACAATCATTCATGTACATATGGATTTACTTTTATTTATCCTGGGAGTTATTCCAGTATTTTCTCAATTTTGGAAATTTCTGAGTTATTTCAATATTGTCTCCTCTTAGTTATCTCCAATCTTTTCTTTTGAAGCTTCAGACAGACACAAGTTTAGTCTCCTACACCTCCTCCTCTATTTTTGCTTTTAGTTTCCATTTTGTTTTTCTCTGTTCTAAATTCTTTGTTCTTTATTTTCACTTAATTTCCATTCCAAGAATTTTATGTTCATTTGGGTATAATATATGATTTAACTAGTCTTAAATTTCAATTACAATATTTTCACTTTTAAACATTCAGTTCTTTTTAAGTCACACTCATTTTGTTAATAGTATCTGCTTGCTTTCTCATGCTATAACCCCGGTGTTTATTTTCAAACAGCTCATGTATTGAACTTATTTTATGCTTACTAACACATCGCTTCTCTGGAATTTTAGACATCCTATCTACTCTTTGTGGTTTCTCCTGCCTCCTGCCTTTCTCCTCTAATGTCATGTGACAGTAGATTATGAGCTCATGTTTGGTGGTATTTTCTCTGTGTAGTCAACACAAAGAGAGAGCGTTTCATATAATTCTATGATGAATTACTGGTACTGCCAATCTGTGGTGATGTTAACTTAATTCATGGGCCATCCAAGTAGTCCAGGTAATAGAAACCTGGACTCCCAAATTTCATGAGGGCAGGACTCTAGACATGAGTTTTCAGGGAATTAAATTAGTTACTAGAGAACTATCTGGAAGACTTGTCCTTGTTGACCTTTGCTTTGGGCTGCAGCCTTTTGAGACCTCCAGTTTTATCTGCCTCATATGCCCTTTCATAGACTCAAGAATTTGGCTGCTATTCTCTTATGGCTATTTAAAAACACAACTAGAAATTAGGGAGTTTCATAGACTAGCCATGCTACAGTCATGTGATCAATCAGGCTAAACTTTAAAAAGTCTGTTATTTTCCTGTCAGTAAATAGTAAACATTAATCCAGTACTTATTTTGTCTTACCAGAAAAATAAAATGGATATGACTAATTATTCATAGGTAGACAGAAATAGCTACCTTAAAATTTTAGGCTTCAAATTAATTACACCATACACATCAAAAATTATACTTTTAAATTGCTAGGGAATTCTTAAATCTAGTTTTTTTATGTATTGTGTCCATTATCTGCTTAAGGAACATAGTTTAAACAATAAAAAGAAATTACAGTTTGCACAGGGAAATTATATGGAAATCACCATTCATTCCGGGCAGCATCACAGTTGCAGTAATATTGAGAATCAATGCAGTTCCCCTCTAATCCACAAGTACATTTTTGAGCATCAGGCAGAGAGCCTCCCCAGTAAGTGTGTGTTTCATTGGTTCTTCCAACCCACCAGCTCACTGGGGTTCCATCTGAAAGACAAGTATGAGAAAGGTGACACCTACTTTATCCCCCACTACCTGTCTCTCCAATACAGTTCCTTTCTCTCTATTTAAAATAGAGAGACTACTGAGAAGTGAACATATTTTAACTCTACAATCATATATCTTTAAAAAGGATTTCTGGTTATTTAAAAATATTTTAATAGTAAGACTTGTGCTATCACAATATTGTTTTTTTATTATTATTAGAAAATAAGCAAGTAGTGCCTGAATATCATTCAGACATGATATTGACATATTTCTCTTGAGAAATACAATTATATAATTTAGTTGAAAATAACATTCAAAATATAATTGTCATCAAAATAAAAACCAGGGTATTTATTCACTGAATCTAAAATCTGTCTGAGATCCTAAAATGCCACACAAAGAATTTCCTATTATTATGCTCAGTATGACTTTCTTTCACTTTATTTATTAGCTGAAAACATTGGTATTTTCAATCACATTTTTAAAGAGTTGCTTAGAGATGAATGGGTTTTGCTTATACTGAATGGGTTTCTCTGTACTGGGAAACTAAAGAAATGGCACCCAACAGTCTTCTTCATGCCTCAGGTAAGTTTTAGGGTCAGAACATCTCTGAGCCAACTATAACTCAGCTCTTAGGTACAACACTCTGCTTAGTAGATCTCACAGGCCAGAAGCTGCTTCAATTCTACAGGACTGCACATTTATACTAAAGACCTAGAAACACTGCTGAGGCACCTGACAGGAACCAGAGCAAACCTGGGAGATGGTGATCAGAAAAGAGGGAGTGTGTAGGCAGGTGGAGGGCAAACGCTCCCTAGTAAACAGAGCAGGAGGGAGAATGGAAGTGACATCAAGTCGATTGGCTCTGAACAGAAGCCTGTCCACTTTCCTGTGCTCTTTCAAACCCTTCGATTATCCCCAACAGGCCCCTGGAAAAATCTGGAACACCTCCCAGCTTCTCCCTAATTTATAGCTGCCACTGCTTATTATGGCTCCCTGTTGTCTGCTTCTGCTGACAACCTCTCAGCTTGTAAACACATTGACTGCATTCATTACCACTCACCACAGGCCCAGTGGGTAATATATGTGCCAAGAAATCCAAATCAATGGTCTTTTTTTTTAATGAGTTGAAAATTTCTCTCTAGAGGGTGTTAGTGGAGATTTTTTTGTTATTCTCTCAGAGATTAAAGAACAAAAAATCATATGTAAATACATAATTGTACATCCACATCAGAATTTTTCATTTTTTCTATGAAATAAAAACCATTAAGTGCTTTTAAAGGTACAGAAAGGTGCATATGGCACCATTCAAAGTTTGTTTTAGTAACCCAAAATAATAACAATAATAATAATAATAATAATAATAATAATAATGCAAAATAACTAAGAATAACTCAAAGAAGAATTAGAAGCTGAAATGAAAAAGAATGGGACAGACATGATGACGAGGGTGCACAACTACACCTGTCCCATTTTGGCCGTTGGTTCACAATCCTGCTCTTTAGTCACATCCATATTCCTTGATGATTTTAGCGTTCATCATAAGGTCCACATTGCTGACTAGTATGTGAATGCTTACTGTCACAGAACTTCTCTCTCTAACCACCTACAATCATATTCCCAAACTATCTAACACAGAGACCCTGTGGATAATCTTCCGAAGGTCCTTGGCCTCCCCTTCCTCTCTGCAACACCAAAGCCACGTGGGAGCTGCTACACTCTAGCTGCTGTACTTGATCAGCACAACTCTAGTTTCCCAGTAACTTCTGAGAATCTGAACAGTGAAAAATCACTGCAATAAAACTGAATATTGACCAAAACTGCCCACCCAGTCTATTCTATACATTTCTTATATGGTTTGATCCTCACACTGTGTTCATACCATAACATTCTGCTGAAAGCTTGGTTGCTTTTACTCTCTCCACACAAAGGTAACATCCATGGTCTGCACACCTCTCTGTGTCTGATGATAATGAAGAGCAAATTAGTACAACAATTTTAAGGTGTATTAGACTATACTATTTGTTTACCTAATCTCTACCTTATTTAAGAGCTTGACATATAGAAGGCTTAACTGAGTTTCTCTAAATTAAGTTTGCACTGAAAATTCTCCAGTAGCACCTTATAAGAAATGTGTATTATGAGCAAGCACAGTAAATAAAGTCCCTTATTTTGTTTCTTTAGCAAATTATTTTCCCCTTACCCCACTTAAATACTTGCTTTTTGTTGGTGTTATTGTTGTCATATATATTTGTATCAAATAAATGTCTGCTAAGTATGTATAAATCAATAGGCTACACACTGGCTCTCCATGCAGGAATCCTTTCTGATCTGGGTGGGGACCAGGTTCTGGAATAGACCATATGTATATTTGTCTCCTAATTCACTGGCTTGTTATGTTCTCTGTCTCTGTTAGTGGTTGATTCCAGCCCTCTTCTGCTTTTGCCTTGTCTTCCTTGGTTGCACAACAAAACTGTATTGCTCCACAGCACTGACTGAATCTCCTAAAGGGAGTTTATTTATCTGGGGAGAGCACACCACTTTAATTCAGGCATCTATTTGACAGCAATCAACTAACAGTAAGTACTAAACCTTTTAATTTTAACAATAAACTCACTAAACCAGAAAGTATTAACAATACACTCACTAAACCCGAGAGTTACAAATACCTAGCACTTAATTCATGTACTTTATAGATGATGTGCAATTAAATCCCTGTAATGTGAGTCTCAACTCTGAAGACTGAAACTCAGAAGATGAAACAATTTTCCAAGTCCCATAGTGGCCCAGGGACAGACTGAGACTTGCACCTCTGTGAATACTTCCAGGCACACTCTGTTTGCTCCACTCCCCTGCTGTCTCGTCAGAGATGGGGAGACCAGTCTCCAGAAAGCCAAAGTGTTTCATTGAGGCTGTAGGATTTGACATTATACAAAAGGAGGTATTTCAAAGAAATAAAGCTGAAATCAAAAACGTTTTATATAAAAATAAAAACTTTCTTTTTTTAAAAAAAATCAAGACTAGTCTGAATATGCTAAAAGAATTATTGACCATTTTGTTTTGTTATTTTATGTCCTGAAAGGGCTGTGCGATGCCAACATCGTTCTCTAACTAGTAATCACCCAAGACACTGATTGTATTCAGTCTATGAGAAAGAATCTCACCAAAATAATCCCCTTCAGATAATTAACCCATGCTGCTGTTAGCAATCCTTTCTAAGGATTCATGATTGAGAGGTCACTGCACTTCATAGTAGATGAGGACAGAGCATTCCAAGGGCCTTGTATGTAGACTTTCACTGCTTAGTTGCCCAGTTGAGTATGGATAAAGACTACAGGTCATTCCCAACTTTGAGCAAAGAGAAACACGATTTGACCTCTTTGCTCTAAGGAAAAGCATCTCTGTAATTTCCAGATTGTGACTTGTGGACACAAGATGTCTCATGCTTCTGTGGTTGTTGTGAATTTGTGGGAACTACAGTGCACTGTGCTTGATTATTCTTACTACTCACTGTTGCGAGTTGAAAGCCGTGACTTCTTGCAGTGGAAAGCCAGCTCCTGATGGCAATGATCCGCACGATCAATTATGGCTTGGAGCTGGTCCATGCTGGCTTTGTATTTGAAAAACACAGGATGGGGACTTTCTCCACCGGTGCTTTTGACCTTGGCCATGTGGGAGCCATCATGCTGCACTGAGATCCATGCAGTGTCTTGTGGGCACAAGTGGGATGAGAGGGAGACAGGAGACTGTAACTAGACTGTACTTACTAAAATAAATGAAAGAGGCATCTTTTATCTGAATTACGTTTTCATTTTCATAAAAACCTTTGTAATGGGAATCAACATAAATGGGATTCTTAAAATTTTAATATTAGGGAGTATATTGAATTTGTATTACCATGTATTTGCAGTATCTATTTTTGGTGAATTTTGTTTGACAATATAGTCAACATTGTTGGGGGAGTGAATTTTGAAAGTTTTGTGTTATAACATTCAACAACACATTATATTATACACGCACCATTTTAGCTCTTAAGTTTTTTTTTTTTCCTTTTATTACCAAAATAATGAAACTAAACTTTGTTGTGTATATCATTATCTTTTTTTTTAATTCATGGATAATATATTTTTTAATATTTTATTTTATATAATTCTTACATCATTTTTCATCTTTGCACAATGTATGCATTTTCATTATGGTTATATTCCCCATACAATTGCACCCCCCCTTATTTTGGCTCTAGTCCTTCCTCTCACTGCCCCTCCCTCCACTCCCCCACCCCATAGTTTGTCTCTGGTTTATAGTTGCTTGTTGATTTTGATTTTTACTTTGTATTCATTATCTTTTTAAAGTCAGGTATACCTCACCTGCCTGAGAATCTTTTCCTCTGATAATCAAAGAAATGTGTAAAAGACACACTTGTGGGACAAGCAGCTCACATAGTCATGCAAAATAATTGAAAATAAATATTTTTACAGAAATTGACAGTGTGTCTGCAACTCATTCATAGTGGGCAACATCAAAAACCACAGTGCCTTAGAGTATTTACATGAATGTTGACAAATTTGTGTATATTGCTGTTCCATTTATTATCTGTATTTTTAAGTGATTTAAAAAATAATGCACACTCCACTGCAGAAGAAAACATCTTGACTTCTTTTGTCTTTCCTAAAATATACCTTGCACCATGAAATTGAGAAACTCACATACTGCAAAGGGTCTATTGTTCAGCAACTAAAAGGGTGACCAAAAATTGCCCAACTCAAGTAGATTTATAACACTAAGTCACATAACTTCTCCTGCAATATGTTTTTGATAAAACAATCAGTCTACATACAAACTTTCCAAATTGTAGGGTAAGAAATGATCAGGTGGAGTTTATTATTTTCAACAGTTTATACGTGGATGTGTTTAAAAAATCAAACGATAGTGCAAGGAAGACCCAGAGAAGTCTCTGCTGGCCCCTGCTCTACCCTGTCTTGGGAGTTCGAACACCTACAAGCTATACCTGTGTGCACAAACCCCTAACTCATTACCTGCACCCAACAATCTAGGGAGGAGGATTGCAAGGGCCATGGAAGGAATGCTGGCTCAAAGTTTATGGAAAGCAACATCACAAAATATACAAAAAACTAGCAAGCACAGGAAAACACTATGAATCTAATGCGAGACTGTTTATATTCAATTATAAAAATATACTTAATAGATCATCTCCCTTTTTGCTCACTAGAGGAGATGTAAGTGTTCTTAGAGCAATTTGAAGTCCATAGATTTCCCCCTTTAATAATGTTTTCACAAGACATTTTAAGTTTCACATTTTATAGAAAATTATTTAAATAGGCCTGGCATTACTTTTTGAAATTATCTATTCCCATTCATCCTCAAGTTTCTTCTATCACCAAAAACAAGGGTAAAAGGAATCAGGCACAGGATGGGGTTGGCCTGGGATTCCAACCATTATAGTGTCATTTATTTTCATGGTTTATGGCACAAAAGAGATATGACATGCCTGAGTAGTTCACATACGCTAGTGGTCAGTATGACAGATTTATAGTCTTCCATGTTTAAAATGTATTAAAAATCTTTTTCAAGTGGAGAGAAGGAAATGATTGAATCTTTAAAACTGCCCTTCTTAAAAAAAGAAACACATTGTTTTGTTAACAAAACACATTGTTTTGTTAATATTACACAACATATTTTCATGGATTTCAAAACTGTTAGTGGGAAGGGGCCTTTGAGATCATGTCAGATAACCTTTCAAGGAGGAGAGAGACCAAGGGATTTAGTGACCCTCATGATGAGAAAGTACATAGCTGTTATTCATTGTAGCTTGAAGCACAAAGCAGATCTCAGGAAATTAATGGTAATAGTGCACACATTTAAACAGGACTTTTGAACTATCTTGAATTAGACCAAACCAAATGTGTTCATTTGACTCACAGGAGCTTCTCATCAGCTTACAAGGAGACAGGCAGGTCCACAATTACCCAGGTAAATGAGCCTGTGGCTGAGTTAACTTGAGAGTTTGGTTTGGTTAAACAGGGTGGAAACAATAACACTGACTTAACTATATCAAACTCATCCTCTAGTTTCTGTTTACTTTGCCAAATTACATCCGCTTTTCGATTCGCAACACTTCCTACACTTTATAATCTACTTGAGAACCACTCAAGGAGTCTTTTATAGCAAAACAGGTGGTCAGATGGAAAAAGAAACATCTTTATTTTACACACTCAGTAAACACAAATCTGAAACACATCTGCTCTGCTCATTTCCATCTCCTGAGGAAAAAAAGCAAAAAGACTACAAGACAAACCTGATGCCTTTGGAGTTGGTGGGTCCCTCACTCAGGATTTGAAAATTGATGTTGAGAAAAGGGAAGGCACACATTCCTTTACTCACAAATGCCTCAAATGAGGTCCAATTTGTGTTTAAACACTGTATCTTTGGAAATGAAGCCAGTTGCCTGTGCTTCTCCTGGGGAGAGGTACCCACGGTCAGAGAAGGCTGGGGGAAATTATGTCCAGGTGCAGTGACACCTCACCTTCTATTTCCAGGTAAACAGCCGGTCAAGTCGATGCTCACAGTATGAAAAATAAGGACTTACAAAAACACCAGCATCTGTTTCTGTGTCTACAGAGACAATCTGAATATTACATTTTGCCTCTGAGAATGTGGCTCCCAGCCCTTTCAAACTCCCCCCACTTAATTACTATCTTAAGAGAAACAGGTTTTTTTTTTTTTAAGATTTATTTATTTATCCATACAAAGAACTGGGGTATAGGCCAGAGGTATGGGGGATGAGAGGATTCACCAGAGACAGCAGGGAGCAGAACAGGCAGATTGAAATATACTGCTGAGGGGAGGAGCGGGTGAGTCAGGAGAGATCAGCTGCACCATGTGGGTATCTCCTCGGCCGGGATTGAACTCGTGCTGCAGTGGCTGTGGATAGCTTCATAGGTTGCATTTTAACCTCTTGCACCACCAGGGAGGCCCCTGAGACAACGCTGGTTGTCATCCCATCTAGTCCAGTCCTCTTGCCACAAAGGTAAGGAAACGCAGGCCTAAGAAAAGTCCCCTAGGGCCTCCACTAATGGTGCAGTGGTTGAGCACTGGGCTGTGAAACTGCCCGCGCAGCCTCTGCAGTGCTGGTTCCATCCCCGGCCACCTGCGAGGGTCCCACATGGTGCACAGACCTCTCCTGCCGTGCCCACTGCTCCCCTCAGCAGTGTATTTCGGTCCTTCTGCCTGTTCTGCTCCCCTTCTCTCTGTTCTGTCTCTGGTGAATTCTCTCACCCTCCCACACCCTGACTGTACCCAGTACTTGTATAGATAAATAAATATTTAAAAGAAAAAAAAAAGTCCCTAGTCCAATTTGACAAAATTGTATCACTTAGCCACACATTTATTTCTAGACACTGTGAGTCACTGCGGGATGTCCATTTCCCAGAGTCTTTCCACATCAGGTGCCTCTCCTGGGTTTCAAATGCAAAGAGAAAAAACAACTAGGTCAAGAGCATTTGTGTGCACACAGTCTATAATGGCCAATTACAAGGCTGTGAATGTCCAATGGGGCCCTCAGAGGAAAACAATGGTCAGCTCTTACCTGTCCTGCCTGAGGTCTCAGAGTCACAAGGCTTGTCACATACATTTGCCAGAGCCAAGGATGATCAGTGTTTTGTACTTTACTGAGGAGGTAAGACAGCTCTGACAGGCCCTGGGAGAGGCCACTTGTCATAGCCCCACACCTGTGGGCCTCTCCTGATCAATATCTGTATTAGGGATCTCAAAAGGGCTGTTCTTCTTGCCACAGTTCTAGGGCCTTGGGGCTCTTCATAGTTTAATATTTTCAACACAAGAAAAGATACAATGAGATATCCCTAAGAAAAGCAGACTCTTCACAAGCTCTCTGTCCTGCACAATTTTCTTCCCTGGGGAATTCGGAGGATCATCTATCCCACTTAAAAGTTTACACTGAATATAGTTTTGTGTGTCTGCTCATTTGTAAGTGTAAAGGGTCAGGAATGGACACAGTGCAGGTTTTCTGATCCCATGCAGACCGCGTAATGGAGGAGTCAGAGTCCTCAGTGGTTTTGCAGGTCTTTTATTGGGGTTCACCAGTTATATGGCAGGCAGAGGTGCTGGGGGGCCGGGAGGCTGGCAGGCCTCCCAGCCCCCAGCAAGTCTTTACTCTTTCTGGGCTCTCTGGCATTCTCTCGGCTTCTGCTTCTCTAGCTTCTCTCTCAGCTTCTCTGTTGTCTTCTGCTCGTCTTCTATTGGCGTCCCCGTGACGCCGCCCTTAAAAAGCACAGTCTTAGCTCAGGTGTGCCCACTTCAGGTGCCCACCATCAGGCATGCATTCAGAACCACAGGGTTCCCTCATCTATCCTGGTGGCGGGAGGGCAGAAAAGCCTGATATTTTTCCTTACCCTACAGTAAGAGTAAGCATCTGCCATTTAACATGGAAGGACTTAACACAATTTATATTCTCATGAGGCAAACCCTGTGTGTGAATGACCCTAGCCTGGCACATCCCACATGCTCAATTATCCCAGATGCTATGAGTGTCTCCCCATGTAATTCAGCCCACCAAACAGCTTGGCAGCAAAATAATTTCCTCAGAGAGAACAATATTGTAGGGTAAGGAAAAATGTCAGGCTTTTCTGCCCTCCCGCCATCAGGATAGAGGATGGATCCTTGTGGTCCTGA